TATCCGACCCCTTCTAGCTTTCCATAGATCATGTGTAATGCACCAAATTTTTCCGAGCACAAAGAACATTACAAATGTTGATCATGATACCTTTTATAGACTGGTAGAGCTTTCTATTATCGGTATTGTATGTTCATAAACTTTCATGCCCAAATACAGTAAATCAGTCACATTAGGACATAATATCTCGACGTCTAGTAATCCGATTTGAGTGAGAAATAATACCATACAATTTGCCTAATCTAGGGCAAATCGAATGGTGGTATTTTCACTCAAATTGGACCACTAGACATCAATTTTTCATTAGAAATTGATCGCCAAAAAAATGAATCGGTCGATTTAGGACATAGTATCTTGACCTCCAGTGATCCGATTCGAACAAAAATAATACCATTCGATTTGTCTAGTCAAGACGAATCAAATGGTCGTATTTTTGTTCAAATCAGGTCACCGGATGTCAAAAATTAGATTATTGGATATTGAGATGTGTGTTATGAAATAACTGATTATATTTGGGACGTGAAAACTTATGAACATACAATAGCTGATATAGAAGCTCTACCAATCTATAAAAGATATCATGATCAGCATTTGTAATGTTCTTTGTGCTCGGAAAAATTTGGTGCATTATACATGATCTACGAAAAGTTAGGGGGAGGGGTCGGATACTTCTGCGAAGCACTGTATGTAGACCATGATGAAACTTCCATCGATACTCTCAGAGCAATGTATTCATTACGTATTGGAACATGATGGAAGCAATACACAGTTCAAACAGCTTCACATTGAATTCGAACAAACCAACTGGAAAATAAGATCAACTTTCTTGAACATAATAAAGAAGTATTATCTGCAAGACAATGACTGCTCGAACTGAATCATCAGCAGCAACTGGACGCGTTACTTCAAGAATACCAAGACATCTTCTTCGAAGATATCAGTTGACTGGGAAGAACTCATATCGTTCAACATGGATCTGAAACTAATGATGCTCTACCTATACATCAACAATGTATCAGGCAGCACTTCCAGATCAAGAATTCATTTCAAATACTGCAGGCAGGAATTATCTGGCCACGTGTTTATCGTGATGTCAAAGGAAGAAAAATGTATATACAGTTTCTAAACCAGCAATTGCAGAGCTAATACTAATTACAGAAGTTTCATAGCTATCATCAGTCTACTTCTATATTCATGTCTTCTTAATTAGGATTTTTAAAATGGTATGCAAGTTCTTCAATAATTTGGTCATCTTTTGGAAGTTCATAAGTAATATTTTCTTTGGGAATATTAAGAAATTCTTCTGCTAATATTGGATTTGATAGATTAAGAGCTTGAAGTGTATTGGTAAAATTAATAAGTGTAGTCTCTTCAAATTGATGAGTATTTCTTAAAATATCTTGCAGATTGGTAGGAAGAATATTTGTATAATTATAAATAGTATTGGTATTAACTTCATTCCAAGCTTGAATAATAAAATGAATAGTTTGAAGAATATTTATATATTAAGTCTTCAATATGTCTGTCTTCTACATGTTGTAATATTAAACATTTTAAAAAATATAAAGTTAGATATTAAAATTTATAATATATATTAACTATATTAACTTTAATATAAATATATCTTGACATATATGAAAATAATAATAATATTGTCAAGAAAAAGTAATATATATTGATCTTGATATTTTAAATCAATTTGATAATTAAAATCTTGAATCAATTCTTGAAAAAGTGAGGTAATTATTCAGACTTGAATATTATGATAGATTATAGACATATTATTGATTTTTATATTTTTGAAGCAATCACAAGAGGATTTAATTTATGAAACCATCTGCATTTACATATAATGTAGTTGACAGATATTCTTTATTTATTTTGCAGCAACCAATGTTCAGTCAGGTTCTAATCTGTAATAATATGTAATTAACAATTAATTTTTTATAGAAAAAATCAAAAGACTTGCCTGTAGAAAAGTCCAATTCATCCATATTATAACTTTAGGATTTTAACTAGGACCATTTGGTGACGAAGTCATAATTTCAATGGAATATGATTTATGATACCAAATAATATTTCTGAATGTTGCAAATTTATTATTGGAATGTTGAGATCCTACTCCAGCAAACAGACCAACTACTGAGAAACTTCAAACTTTATTAGATCGTTCTGCGTACAAAAACGACAAAAAAGATGACGATGACAAACGGCGATGATGAGGATGAGGACGAATTCAAATGCAATTTACACGATTATAATATATCAAACATTAGGTTCTGCAAGTATCCGTTTTTTTGCTCAAAACTATTAATATTAATGTAAGTTTTATTTAATTCTTTAATTCAGCATCTTTTCTTTTCTTAATGGTGCAAACAGATCTGAAGAATGAGGATGTGTCGAGTGACCTGCAAATTATTTTCAATAGATTTATTTTCGCTTTCATAAATTTATCCTATTATTTTTAACAACTAAAAAATTACTATATATGAAAAAAATTTTACGTTAACCGGTTAAAAATTCTTAACAGGGTCCATATGCATGTATATCCATATATATTAAAAGTTTTACTGGCATAAAAACTTACGTGGGAGGGGAGGAAGTAATATATGTTACTAATACATATCAAAATAATTTACATGTTTATTAATCGAGTTTACATATAAATACATTAACATGTAAGTGTCGCGGATTAAAAATGTAATTTTAGCCAAATGTTCTATATAATACGCATAACGTTAGCCAAAATAAAAAAATATTAAAATTGCTAATATAATACTTTTAATCTGTCACAATAATTACATGACTTAGAGTTCCGTAAACTGAATTAACATTTTTTTTTTTGCTTTTCTCTTTCTTTCACACATACGTGTATGCCTCAAGTATTGGACGTTTTATTGGGGGAGCGTTGTTTTCTTGTAATCGAATATTCGTGTCGAAAAATTATAAGAAACGTTGGCATTGTTGCTTGTCAACGTCACGAGAACAGTACCGGACGAGATGATAATATTGTTGCTATTGTTACGACCTGACGACCGTTCAATAGCTTTATGATAAGGATGGTCTCTAATCGTTTGTGTCGTTACGAGAGGAAGCATTTTAGAGAGAGAGATATATTATTTTATTATTTATGTGAAGCGTAAATACTATTTTATTATTTCTTAAATGATAAAACACGGAACTTTTTTTACAAATGGTCATATACGTTTTTTTCGCTAGTTTTATATATTTTTTACTTACGTATTGCTATATATTTGCCGAAGGTATTTATTATTATAAGTATTATAGAATGAAATTTTTTGCAATCTTTGGATTGATATTCCAAAGCAAATATTTGGTTGAAACTTCAAACCCAATTCAAAGCTATGCCTCGTAACGATGATTCAGGGAACAACATATACCTTAATGCATTGCATAGGATGCACAGGGTACGTTAGTAAAAACAGAAAAAAAAAGGGGGTATTCTACGCAGTAAATTACAGTACATCGATGATGGGATGCTTTGGACTACATACCAAACATTGTATCGATTATTGTACTAAGCAGATAATGTACATGTATTAAATAATAAAGCGTATTAGTAATCAACTGATCCAACTAATTACATGTAGTGGGCTGGTAAAGCTATTCTATATTTTTTTATTATTATTGTTGTCATTATCAGGCGAGTGATGTAGGATGGTCTTTAATCGTCTGTTGTTACGAGAGGAAGCATTTAGAGTGAGATGAATTATTTACTTTTTATGTGGAAGTGCGAGTATTATAAGGAAAGAGAAAAGTATTATTTACTTAAATGATAAAGATTTTACAAATTTTCGTGAAATAATATTTTTTCGTTAGTTCTTATACTTTTTGCTTTACGTATCGCTATATATTTGCCGAAATTGCATATGCCGACAATATTCTTTTATGATTATAAGTATTATTTATAGGATTAAACTATTTACAATCCTTAAGGCAATGTCGATGAACTACAAAAATAAATAAATCGTAAACTGTTTTATCTTTTATACAAATATCAACAAAGTTTAACAGCCAGGCAGGAGTTCAAACCTAATTCATGCCTCGAAGCGATGATCCATGGCAACTCATACAGGCATTGGTTCACATATCGATCAATTTTTCCAGGTGGAATGAGATGAAAATACCACGAATCAATAAAGACCAGTGATAGGATTCGAATATGTAAAA